ATTATTCTCTCGATGTTATGAGACAAACTATTGGTAACAAACTGATTATTAAGGGAAGGATTTTTTAAGAGAAAACACTTGACACTTGAAATCTGTGTGTATTGTTTTTTTATCAGGATGTAAATACTTAAATTATTGAACATAAATGGACAAATATTAATTATTTGTCAGAAGTGTAACAAATTTAAATAAGAATCATTCTAATGTTAACACTATTGGAAGCGTACATAAATTTAAGACACTTTCCGCAAATAATCTCTTAAAGATGCAATTTTCATGATATAAATTTTTGGAGCGAAGTTAAATGAGTGGGTATTTTTGACGAGTGTTGTACCAGGGTACTTTTGAAATTTATTTCTCATTCTTTGTGTACATATTGTGAGGTTTTTTCCAATGTATTGGAAAGAACAGTCATTGCAAGAAACAGAATATACTATGTCAGAATTGAAATAGGATAGAGTAGGAGATTTAATGTTTTGTTTTTGAATAACCGAATGAATAAGCTTTTTTGGCTAACCATTTTCATTTTAATTTATTCCTCTATAAATGATAATTTCTACTAGGAGTTGTGACTATTTCTAATCCCTCTGATCAAAAATCTAAATCCAAAACTGAAATCATACAAAAATTACGTATGAAACCAATGAGTTCTATTAGGAGAACAGTCTCACCCCCGTTTGAAAAATTTCAATATAAAAGTAAATTTCATACAAATTCGTCGTCAGAAATCGATCAGTTCTACCGGAACAGTCACTCAGATTTCCGGCAAAACCGCAAAGTATTTGCACGACAGATACGAAAGCTCTTTAAAAGTTTAAATAAAGCGAGGTTTTAAATTTGTACAAGATTTTGACTAATGCATCGGTATTTTGTTCTTATTTTCTTCGTGGCTCCGAAACGCTGGCGTTTCCCACAAACCAATAGAAAACTATAATGACTATACAAATTGAATATACTTTGAATAATTCGAATTGATTAATCCATTCTCATAAAAAACATGTCAAAAAATTTATCTGAATATAAACACAAACATGTATTTTACGCTTAAATTTTTATGAAGTAAAACTAAAGATGTATATATTTTAAATGGTAATTTAAATATTTATTTCTATAAATTCATCTATCCCAAAATTCTTTGTTTTTACAGTCAATATATTATTATAATCTAAGAAAGTTATTCATCTGATAATTTTCACAAATGATTATGAGACAAGACAAATGAGCAATTTGTCATACAATAAATAATGACAGAAAAATAAATAAATTTTAAACAATAAAGATATTTACAATGTTTTGTGTAATACATAAGCCCAGCAAATTACATATATTAAATGTATTTGTAAGCAGCATAATTTCATTCGATTCCAATGACTTGATTGTTGATTGATATTTTGCAAAGACTTCTAAAATACAGATGATACATCACATTTGGAAGATAGCTTTGCTCTACGTGCATGATATTCATTTGAAAATGCCTGTAAGATAACATTTTATTTAATATAACTTACTACTAAATAATCAAACGAATAAAAAAAAGTAATATAACATGAAAAAGGACAGTAACAAAACGACATAGTTATTTAGTTATTATTTAAACAAGTAATTTTCAGAAAATAACAGTAGATTTATCATAGTTTACCTGAGCCTACTTCCAGGATATGAATTTTTCAACCTTTGTTTAAGAGAAAATTCACTGGATGTCAACCACCGATGCTCAAGACACTCTTCGGCTGTCGGACGTTTGCTGTTTAAAGTCAAAATGTGATATTAATTAAGATATCTAAACTATCACCCCTACAATTTGCTAGAATATAATATTTTAAGTGTTGAATCAAATAAAAAGGGAAAAAACTTATTCAATAGAAAATAAATTTTAGATAGGTTCGAACTTTATAATTACATAAGTGCTACAGCACACAATTGACTAAAATATTATCTAAGCCTAAATATTATTAAAATGATATAATAAGCTAACTTGCAAATGGTATACTCAAAAATAAACCATCAGAAATGTTTGAATCAAAATTTAAAGCATATAAATATAATGAATGGTTGTATCTATTGGTATAACTTGAGTTAGAATATGTATTATATTAGTTGTATATTTTTGGCAAGAAAAAATTGATCTGTAATGTAAATTATTTTTTGTAAAGGTCTATGGCAAACAAATATTTTTAACATCCTCTATATATCCTAATAAAATCAAGTATTAAATTAATTAAAAGTATTATCAACTGTAATAATCAATTGCAATATTTTTGATCTTGCTATTTATTGAGAATGAAGTTAAGAAGAATTAAACAAGTGCTAAATTTTAATTAAAATTTACCTGGGTGATCGTTTGAAAACCAGCATCAAGAATCTTGTTGCATCCTGAGTCAATTCCTTATACAGATTTTCAAATCTAAAATTATTCTCACCATTAGCCATTTGTGTGTTTAAATATCATTAACAAGGATTACAAAATATCTAAAATCTACTCACCTATATCGAGCATAACTAATGTTTAATCTAGTTTCCAAATCTGTATCTGCTTCAGTCTTAGTAACTATAATTTCATTCGCCTCATGAACAGTTCCATTGCATTGTATAGGGGCAGGATTTTCAGTGCTCCATACAAAGGGTGATACACCAGATAGAAGTACATAAACAATTACTCCCAAGACCAGATGTCAGTTTGAGGATATGCATTTTCTTCATTTAATATTTCTGGTGCTATAAAAGACAATATCATATTTAGTATTCATATATTACACTTTTTTATATAAGGATAATTCATTATAAGATAAAATATAATATGGTTAATGATCAAGAATTAAATTCCAGCAAATTAATGCATTAGTGAATACTAAAAAAGTATGTATATATTTTTTATATTTATTGTAAATAAATGTTTTATTTTTGTTACTTTTATATATAAGAAAAAAAATATTTTTTAAATTAAAAACAAAATTAGAATTTGAATAAACTAAAGAAAATATATAATTTAGTTTAAAATGAAAATAAAATTATTTCAAAAAATTGTTTAAAAGTTAGATGATTTGTATAAAACGCATATATGCGGCGCTCGTCCTCAAAGTGTTAAATAAACTACTAGTGTAAAATATTTCCCATAAATCACCAAGTTTTCTTGTAAAGTCAAAATTACCTGTAAATTCTAATTTCCTGTAAAAGGTACCCTCGTTCCTAATTTGCTCACATGGCGCGCTGAACCAAAATCAACTAATTTAATCTGCAAATTAAAAAATAATGGTTATACTAATTTATTTACAAATTAAATATCACATTAAGTGACATCTCATAATAATGAGTTATAAAATTATTAGCATTCTACAGGACTTCAAATAATAAATCTAAAATCTGCAACAGAGAAAATATCACACACACTTTTAAAGATTGTTTAACAATATTTTAAATACAATAGATTCAATAACTTTGAAATTTTAGAATTAATTTAAAAAAGTTAAAGTATCAGGTATCTTTTATTTTACAAGAAATCATATTCAAATAATGAAGAATAAAGACATTTATTTTGATCATTTATTAAAGACTATGTCTCATATACCTGTGCTGATCTGGGAGATGTTACAACTATATTGTCCGGCTGTATATCTAGATGACAATAACCGCGCCAATGAAGGTACTGCAAGCCATCCAAAATCTGAGCGGCTACCACGGAGACGGTCTGCTCTGTATAGCTGGTACATTCAGAAAGATGTGTCAAGATATCATGCGATTGCCCAAGTTTCTCTTGAATCAGTACATGCAATCCAGATGAACAACGATAAGCTTCCACCATCTCAGCAAGACGCTCATGTCTATTGAAGAAAATTGAGCATAAGTCTTAAATTTGGCCTGGCGTTAGATGAAAGAAAACTAATATTAAGCTTTATAGACGTAGAGAAGCAAATATTCGTTGTCAATAGGCAGCATTAGAAATTGTACTTGGGCCCATTTCTTTACATACATAAATTACATCAGTAATCATTACCTTAGTGTCCTAAAAGTATCAAATTCAGCTTGGACGGAAGAATCATTTGATTCCTTATGAAAAACTTTTGCCACAACCAATTCATCTGTACTGGTGTTTGCACATTTCACAACCGTAGAAAATCTACCATTATGTAAGGTTGTTATAAGCTTGTACCTAAAAATTTAGACAAATATAATGACTTAATAAAAATATATTTTTTATGAATATGATTATAAATTCAATAAAAATAAATATAGATATTAAATATACAGAATATTTACTTACATAGAACTAAAAATATGTTTAAAATTATGTTATAGATTTTTATACGATTGAATCAATGTATACTTTAATAGCGTAATAATAGTTCAATTTTATATTTTTGAGATTAAATATTATACTACTAGTTATTTAAACTATATTAATATTTATTAGTTATGTTAATTAATATCAAAATGATCAAATTTTTTATTTATAGTTTCAAAGTTTTTTTTATTTATAAAATTAAAATAAATTTGTTTTCATACTTATATGGCTTTACTTCTACTAAACCACATACTTATTCTGTTTTTATTCTGCACACTCGCGATTGACTCGATCAAATATAGAACTGTAACATTATTTTTTAACTTCAAAACAATTTCATTTCAACTAAAAAAGTAAAAAGCAATGTTGCAATTTTATATTTTTAAATAGAAAAATAATTTAATGTGAATGCAGTTATTTACGTCTAATGTAAATAAACGGCATTACAAAGATATTCTATAAATTCCTTCATGATGATTGAAACTATAATTTCGAATAAGTATCTTAATATCTCTCATTACTGCATGCTACACATAATTATTATTGATGCGCAACATATAAATAATATTCATATTAAAGATTTACTTGTCTTTAGGATCAGATTCTATCCAGTCAACGAGGTCAGTTTCTTTTGTCATAGGATGGCCTTTGATGATCTAAACATTCTCCAGAAGCACGTTCATCCACTTCTTGGATTTGTCGAACAACTGCACTTGCACCTTAAAATGACCAAAATATAAAAATGTGCATTAACACTATATATTCGTACTTTCGCAACTTTATAAAGTATTAATTATAATACATTATAAATTCATTAAGTTACGACATTATGTTCAAGAATAAATTAAAACAAAAAAAATGAAATAAATTACTGTTTCAAATTCAAGATTAATTTTGTCAAATTATAACGCATTTTAATTGTGAAGATAAATAAAATATACCTAGTTTCTGAGCTCCGTCATTCAGGGTTTGGATTGGAAAGAGAAGAATCACTCCATTCTCCCCAGCCAAGAACGTTGGCAGCATGCACGCGAAATGGTAACTCTCGCCGGCTGCCAAACCCGTGACTACGAAACGCTCACGAGTAATGTGCTCAGCTACACTATTCCAATCAATTGAATCTGCCTTCTTCATCTCCAAACCATAGTGTAATATCTGAGTAAAAATTTAAAACATCTGCTAATATTCATATAACACTGCCATTTCTCAACTCAAAATAAACACATTATTCCTTCATACCTCCATTATTCCTCTATACCTTATTGTTTTTTCGGGTCCTTCAAAAATTAGTATCATAGGCTAATGTCACAAGTTATTAGTATGAATTACAATAAGCAGTTAGTACTTACAATAAGAGGTACTCGAGAACGCCAGAATCTCTAGTAAGCATTAGTCTTTCGGAACAACACACGTTTTTAATACAGACCTTGTCTCAAATATATCAAATGTAATGTAACATAATAATAATCTATAATTACTGTCAAGTTTAGTGATACATGTGTTAATCGAATATGTTGTGTGTACGTGTAATAATGTAAATTTGATAATAAAGATTCTCATATTTTTACTTTTATTCGACATATAGAAATAAGTAAAGGTCCTTGAGGCATGAAGATTTTCTATTTTTCTTCTCAAACGATTCGAACAATAAATTTCCACAGTCACGATGAAGAAATCTTGCACTCAAAATTTTTCAGAAATAAATAAGATGAAAAATGTGAATTGAATTGGTTTTAATGAAAATAATAATAAAAATAAAATTTTACAGCTGGATTTTTTTTACCCATGATTAATATTATATATCAAGTAAAGTGAAAAGGAATTCATTATTTTTGCGTGAAATTAAGGCTTTAATTACTATAATTAGAATGATCCGATTTAAATCAATTAATGCTCCGCTTTGTTCAATAGCTTGCTTACATTCTGAAAGAAATAATATTATATCCCTCTCATAGACATCCTCGTCCCATTGAAAAATTGACACAGTCGATTTTTACAAGCTCTATAAGTAAGTTTTTAACCAAGACTGTTTGTGATGGAGAGAAACAGATGGCAATCGCTTGGTGCCAAGTCCGAACAATAAGATAGATGCATAAAAACCTCCCAATCAAGTTCCCGGAGCTTCTGTCGAGTCATTATCGGTGTGTGTTTCCAGACGTTGTCCTGGTGGAACACAATTCCTCTTCTATTGGCCAAAGCTGGCTGCTTTTGGGCGATTGTTTCCTTCAGATGGTTCAATGAAATTTCTCAAATGAAATTTCGGTTCAGTAGGTTGGCACTCGTGTGCACTCAAACGGTTTTCTGTACAGTATTCAGTTTTTGGCAATCGAAGTCGATTTAGACGATTAGTCTCCATCGTGTTGTCGACATTTTCAACAATTGGCTGTCCAGTGTGCGTGCGTTTTTGACATCAAATTTACCAGAATAATTCGATGACCCTTATCAGGACCATAAACACTATTCACATTTTCAGCCGCCTGGCTTGCATTTTCGCTTTTATCGAACAAAAAGTGTAAAATATAGCGTGTTTTCTCTTTGCTAGTGTCCATTCTTGATATGAAGAATTGAAAATCAATTATATATATAAATAAATAAATATATATATATATATATATATATATATATATATACAAATAATACTTATTTACTTGTAAATTAAACTGACTGTAATAAACAACTGTTCCGGGTGAGGTCTGGGCCATCAGTTACGTTAAACTGATTGTGAAACCAATTTCAGATGCAATTCCCGAAAGTTTTCATTTTGTTCTCAAGTAATCACTATTAATACAAAATATAAAGTATTAAAACGAGACGAAAGCACGAGATTTGAAGAACGTAGATATGTATATAAATTCATGTATAGTGTCATAATAAACCCCAGAATAAATAATTATTTCCATGTTTAAATATTTATTAGCAATAAATAGAAATTATTTACAATTAGTTATAAAGACTAGCATGTGTAGCATATAGTATGTGTAATAAACCAGTTATTAGCTTTTGATAATACAAATTTGAACGCCTTTTGTACATAAATTAGTTAATAAAAATTATATTTACATATGATATACAATAATGATTTCAATAGAAATTACTACAATATACAATAATTACTTTATATCAGAATAAACACCAACAATTCTTTCTGTCCTATCCAAAATTAAAAAAAAAAACTTCTCAAACTAAATAAAATAACATATTTCTAATAAAAAAAAGTTGCCATAAACGCATATAAAAAAAATTTAATTCTAAATTATTGTGTAACTGTTGGCTTAAAATATTTGTCATATACAGAAAAATAAATTATAAATTTAAATATTTTATATATATATTATATATATATATATATATATATATATATATATATAGATTATTAATAAGTTAATAAAATTAATGTCCAATTATTCATATCAATTATTTTGCATAAAATATCGATATCTAGGTTTCTTAAAATTATTATCACATTGTTCCATTAACCTAAATTCTTCGAAATGCTCTTGGTAAGTTGAAATGATTTCAAATAAATAGTATACAACTCGATGATTGTAGAATATGTATTATAAAATATGTAGTAATATTAGTATTAACAAATAAAAAGAATGATAAAATTAATATATTTTACACACATAGCAAAGGATATTATGTGCAAAAAAATATCTCTTTAGCCTAATAATAGAACATACTAAGCGATTAACTAATCAACATTATCTTATGCGATTATAGCAATGTTGATGCAATATTTTACAATTCCTTATTTTATTTGTATTATTAAATATATTATTTGTATTATTAAAAGTCAAAATTTTCTGTTCTATTCGTCCTCCAATTCAAGTCATCCAAGTCATTCCATTTGTCCTCCAATAAGTTCTAGTCAGAGAAAAAACCTCGGTATTTTAAAATCAAATAGATTTGTTGTATTGAAGCACAGATAAAAATCAACACATTTATTTAGATATTATAAATTTACCATTAAGGGTTTATTGCTGATTTCAAATTACTAATCTTTTTTCTCTGGCTCCCTATACATATAGCTAAGCATGTATATAACATGTAGATATATATATATATATATATATATATATATATATATATATATATATATATATATATATATATATATACAAATATGAGTAAAAATAGTGCACACTTGTACCCTGATACTCAAGAAACGTTCAACGATTAGCTACAAGCACACAAAAATGTGAAGATGATAAAAATGCCAATACAACTCTAAGAAAGAATGCTAATAATATAACACCGGTAGAAAAGTCATCATTGAATAAAATAGTTAATGAAGGTGAACAGCCAAACTAATAGCTAAATTAATAGAAAATAATTATGAATACAGAGGAGAAATTGAAATGACCAGGAAAATAATATGGTCAAATTTGGCAACCTACCAATCAATGTTAATGTTCATCATCAAAATCTTCACCGGCAGCAGAGACTTGATTAAAACTATACATAGTAAATTGATGAATCACAATAAAAGGTAGGACAAGTCCTATTTAATCTAGAACCAGGTGCACTATCACATTATCTCCAATATTGACATATGTTCAGACGATAGTGAAGTCATTCGTAATTCCGAAACATCCGAAGTCTATCTAATCGGCGCAGAAATAGCTGAGACTAGTGTTATTTCGGTTTGAACCTGCTCCATTGGTAATATTAGATGCAGATGACTTGTATTTAAATCTTCTGGAAACAAGTGATTACATAAAAGAAATGAATGAGGACCTTGCAGATACTCCATCAAATGAGCGGATTGAACATACCTCCATGTTCAGTGTACTTAGAAAGACAAAATATCTCACCTTCTGATTCCATATCCGTAAAGCAAAAAATATTGAAGAAAAAAAAAAATTTAAAAAAAAAAAATAATTAAACAAATACGTGACTTCAATCAATAAATCAAGATAGCGAAAATGGCAAACTTGTGCCAGAAAGATTTAGAATATTTCTTATATATAAATTGGAAATTCAACAATATTCAGATAGCATCTTTATATTTTCTCTGACTTGACATTGAATCATCTTAAAAGCAAACTTGCTAAGAATGCAGAAAATCGAGAAGATGCAAATGTTTAAAGAATTTTTTATGCTCGAACACATTGTTCGTTGTCCATTTTTATTTAATATTGAATTCTTAAACTCATATATTATGTAAGTATGTACATACATATGCTCACCCATAATTAAAAATTAAAAATAATCGTAAGCATGATCTGTCTTATATCAGCGTGAAAGTATTTAGTTTTCATTCACTGCATTGTTAGTATTCATATTTTCTTCATTATCACATATATCGTTAGAAACAGGCCTGAAAGTAAACTGGCTTGTCTGTAAATTTTCAGTCACATTTGGCTTCTCAACATTTTGATTATCACTGAATAGCATTGTAAGATTTTGCTGAATGCTTGATTTATTGAAAGTAACCGGATTGTCATCTTTATTGAACATATCATCCTGTTTGAGTGCATTCTGTTCTCCATCCAAGACCATAGAAATGGTTCCCGCACCGGTTGCTTCACCGTTAACGTACTCTTTTTTATCACTTTCACTATCAATGCTGTAAGACATTGTAACATCTTTCTTATCGTTGCTATCACTGTTGTGCGATAAAACAAGTCCTGAGGTTGGAGCAGTTCCTCGCGTGCATCCGAATATGCCACTTTGCGAAAACACTTGCGTTGCTGTCTTCTTCATATTGGGACCTTCGTCGTTGCCAATATCCAAATCAAATTTTCGTTTCAAGGTAAAAGAGCTGGGCCTCATTGCAATGGGGCTAAGACTTCTACGAGTGGCAAAAGATTTTCTTGTTGGGCTGGGACTTGAGCATTTCCAATTGAAGTTGGGACTAAAGCACTGTCGTGGGAGATTTGAACCTCGTGTGGGGCTGGGACTGGAACACAGCATGGGCGTCGTTCCTCCAATATGATTTGTCTGAACATTTAACGGAAGCATTTTTGAATTTGAACTCAAAAGATGATTTTTGAAAGGTCCACTTGATGATGATCCAAATGTTGGAAATAATGGCGACGTTGATTCCTTTGAACTTGTTGGAAATTTAGTACTATCACTTGGATTAGAATTTGAACATGAAGTAAACATTAAAGAACCAGGCTGCATATTCAGTGGAGAAAAGGCTTTTC